GGTGTGTGTATATAGACATGCAGTGCCCTTAGGGGCCAGAGAGCACTGGATCCCTCTGGGGATTAGTGTTAGAAATAGTTGTGAGCCTACACCAGGGTTCAATAGATTGAAGCCAGATCCTAGGGAAGAGCAGTCAGGATTCTAATCTCTGAGCCATCTCTCCAGTCTCCTATATGTGATATACTTTTTGTTTTGTATTGTTATGTTTTTAGAGACAGGTTTTTCTGTGTAACCCTGACTGTCCTAGAATTTACTCTGTAGACCAGGCTGTCATGAACCCATAGAGATCGCCTGCCTCTGCCTCTAGAGTGCTGGGATTAGAGACACGGGTCACCACTGCCCAGCTATATTTTATACTTTTATCTCATTTTTATACTTACTTCCTTTTACTATACTGACGAAAAATCCGGGGTCTCATCCACTTTCAGTAAGTCTCCCTGAGCCATATCCTCATTCCTGTGCTATATATGTGTGTGTGTGTGTGCACATGTATGCATATGTATGTGTGTGTGAAAGTGTGTGATGTATGTGTGTGTCTATTGGGAACTCAGGTTCCTGGAGAGTGATCCTAGTGCCCTGAGCCCACCAGCTAAGCATTTAGCTACTGAGCTATAGTCCCATCCCTTTTTGTAAAGTTTTTAATTTTTTTTTTTTTTTTAGTTTTTCGAGACAGGGTTTCTCTGTGGTTTTGGAGCCTGTCCTGGAACTAGCTCTGTAGACCAGACTGGCCTCGAACTCACAGAGATCCGCCTGCCTCTGCCTCCCGAGTGCTGGGATTAAAGGCGTGCGCCACCACCACCCAGCTATATTTTTGTTTTATATGTATGATTGTTTTACCAGCATTCATATATGCATGTGGTGCTGACAGAGGCCAGAAAAGGGTGCTGAATCCCTCAGAACTGGAGTTGTAAGTGCCTGTAAGCCTCCCCATGGGTCTCCTGTAAGACAGCAAGTGCTCTAACTGTGGACCCATCTCCCCATCGCACTTTTCCTAATTCTTACATTGAAATGAGGTTTCACTGAACTGCGCTGGCTTGTCTTGGATTCACTCTATAGGCTGGACAGGCTTGGACTTTGTCATCCTCCTGCCTCAGCCTTTCAAATAGGATGGAATTCCTGGCAGCAGACAGCTCCAGGCCACAGGAGCTTGAGGCAGGGACTCTACCCCTCCCCATACCTCAGAGGAACAGGAAGCTGAGCAGCCGCCATATTTCATAGCATCCATCACAGGAACAGGTGAAATCCAGCCTGTTCCTGCCCCGGTGTCCTTTAACAGCAAACACAGGAGCTGGACTCTGCCAGCTCTCCACACACTGCCTCCCCAACACTGTCTCTGCACTTCTGTCCCCTCCATAGCCTGGCCTGTCCCTCCCACACCTGCCCTCCTGCCCTGTAAGGGGCTCAGCCCTCACAGCCCTCACTGGCCTGGGGGCCTTCTCCCCTGTCTGGCTTCCTCTGGGGCAGGTCCTGCTCTTCAGCTGCTGAAGTGAGAGACTTTTGAGTCCTTTCCTTGTCCTGATGCCTCCTCCTCCTCCTCCTCCTGGTGCAGGACATTTGGTCACACTGTGAACCCCGACTTATTTACTGGAAAAACCTGTTTCTAGTTGTGGTGTGGCTTAGTCCTAGCACACACCCTTTCCCAAGACAGCTGGGAAGTCCTCAAAGAGAGAGCTAAGTAATATTAAAAGGAAAAATCTTTTCCACATTGAGGGTGGAAACAACACAGGGCACTAGGACCCTGCTACTCAGCTACTTAGGTGGCCTGAAAACAGAAGCAGACAATGAAGAGAAATGACTGCACTGAGATTGACACACACTGATGATAATATCAGTCTGTCATTCATATTTCATCCTCATTAGCCGTAGTAGTTTTTAGTGCTAAATATGAAAGGTGGATTTATAAGATACAAGCGTTATAAACACTTAGAAATGAAAATAAGAAAAATACTCAGACAGAGGGATTTAGACAAGAACCTACTGTGCCACCTCAGGATGAAACTGAAGAGGGGTGGCCCAAGGTTGTTAGAAAACCAACCTTAGTTTATCCAGTTACTACAAATAAAAAGCTACCCTCAGGCAATAGGCACCTCCAAGGCTTTGCAGATGTTAAATGGAATCCTATAGACATATGACATTTGAAGGGTTTTAAGGAAGGGGTCATTTCATGTGTATGCCATCATCCTATGTGAAGAAGATGCTAAACTCATGGACAACTCAGAACACGGTTATCCCCCAAGACTGGAAAGGTTTGGTGACAGCAGCATTGGAACCTGGTCCCAGTTACAGTGGTGAACATGGTGGACAGAGGAAGCCAGGACCTAGAACAATGAAATAGGGCAGAGGTGTTGATATTTCCCAAGAGCAGCTTCTAGGCGAAGGTCATTACAAATTGATCCTGAAAAAAACACAAAGAGAAGATTCTACCAATTGTCTAGGATAAAAGATAGGTTTACAGAAAATTCAACCTCAGAAAGCACAAATCAGGAGAGATCAATTATGAAGTCAATGATTTTCAGAAGTTGCTGGGAGATATTATTAACTGATTACAGCCCATGGTTGAATAAATTACTCAGGAGCTAAGTAATTTATTTCAAACCTTACGAGGTGATAAGGTCATATATATATATATATATTTGAACTGTACATTTTTCTCTGCTCCCCTCCTTTTCTTTTCTCTCCCCTTCTACCTCCTCCCATGGTCCCGATGTGGTAGGAGGTCCTTCTGTCTATGTGCTGCTTTTATTGGTTAATGAATAAAGAATTGGCTTGACCTATAGCATGGGAGGAGAAAAACCCATCCTGTAAATCCTCGAGTCGCCACTGGAGGCAGCACCAGGATTCCCAGGGGCATAGAGGGAAAGGACACCTTTGGCAGAACACAGGACAGGTCTGAGATGAGACCCTGGGGATCCCTCCTCTCTGCCCATCCTACAACCCGGGTTAGATTCTGATAGATGGGAAAGAAGGAGAGAACCTCCAGGGAGGGGCCTGAAGGGAGGCAGGAGCTCAGGAGACTGAAGCTCGTGTTCTCATCCCAGTCTCCTGAGTGCAGGGACCTAGTTGGGCCTTGAGGAGACAAGGATGGAAAACACCTCTTAATGCTGTCACTCAGGGAACCCACAGGATAATGAGGCAGGCACCACTCACAGGAAGAACAGGCCTAGTCCTCCGTACTAACTAAAAAGGCAAGAAGTCAACACTAAAGCCATCAGATCACAGCTAAGACAGCAGCCCTGGCGGCTCATAATCCTGGGGACAGGACAAGGCTCTGGCCATCCCAGTGTCCCTGTGATCACAGATGTCAGCATTTGCTTCTAAGTAATGAAGAGAACAGAGCCAGGAGGGGACAGAGCTGAGGAGTGACCTTGTCAATGCCAACAACGGACTGAGCTCCACCTGGGCACAGCCCTGTTCTTACTCAGCTCCCACAGCCTCATCCTGTCCCACCAGATGCACACAGCACAGTGAACACAGATTCTGGGAGGTTCTCCACGCTGCCATTTATTTCTTCCATAAACTCTATCTCAATCCTTTATTTTACCAACAATCAACCTTTGAGATCAAGGACATGAACAATCAAGTTCACATTCAGATTCTTATTTTCAGTGGGGAGGTCAGGGCTGAAGCTCAGGACAGCATGGAGGAGACAGGATGGAGATGTCCCCTCCTGTCTGCAGGAACAGAAGGGTTGGCTGTGGAAGGGAACAGGGCAGTGCAGGGACAGGGTCAGATGTGCAGGGGTGGGCTGGGCTCCCAGTTCTTCACATTGAGCCCATGGGATCACAAGGAACATCAGACACTATTGCTGAGAGTGAACTGAGAGGCTCTGGATGTCACAGGAGAGACCTGAACACATCGTCTGTCACTCCATCCACACCAGGCAGCTGTCTTCACGCTACAGAACAAGAGTCATGAACAATCACTGTGAAGACAACATCCCAACAACCCACCATTCACTCAAAGGTGATTCTGGGAGTCCCTGAAACCCAATCATGTCCGCTCTGCCCCTCCCCAAGTCGGTCACTAGAATGTCACCTTTACAGTCTGGGAGAGACACATCGGAGCTCTGGGAACTGTCCCTGCCTGGGGTAAAATAATATTAATATATATATGGAAAGGTAAAAATAGGGACCCCAGAATATTTTGCTAAAGGAGCAAATATAGATTGCCATATTTCCCCAAACAATCAAGGTTCAACCCAAAGGCATCATGGATTATCTTGACCTTACACTGACCTGGAGCCGGAGCATAGTTTCCTCCTTTTCCACCTGTGAACAGAAAAGCTGTGAGAGACCAGGGAAGTCCCCGACCCTAGGAAGTTTCCAGAACCGACAGCAGACCCAGGGTAGAGACAGCAGCAATGAGGGGTGTGGATGTGTTTCCCATTAACGAGGCAGAGCACACTTCTAGAAGGGGCTGAGAGAGAACTCAATCCTTGCCCTTTCCTACCTGTGTTTCTCCTCCTCTTCCTCACCACAGCCACCACAGCCAACACAGCTCCAAGGAGAACCAGACCAGCAATGACTGCTGCCACGATGGGGACCGTAGACTGAGGAGGCTCTGGGAAGAGAAGGGCAGGAAGGGAAGGTGAGGGTCATGACCCCAGCTCTCACCCCTGACCCTGCTCAGGGTCTGCAGAAGGCTCCAGCTTTCCCTGACCCCAGCTCTGCACCCACTCCCTCCTTACCCCATCTCAGGGTGAGGGGCTGCCTAAGCCCCTCATGGTACACATGGCATGTGTACTTGTGCTCCTCTCCAGAAGGCACCACCAGAGATGCCCACTTCTGGAAGGTTCCATCCCCAGAAGGTCTGGTCTCCACCAGCTCCATGTCCTGAGTCTGTTCCTCCTCCTCCCTCTGCCAGGTCATGGTGATGAAGGCAGGATAGAAGCCCAGGGCCCAGCACCTCAGGGTGACGTCACCTTTAGGTCCAGGATGATGGGTCACATGTGCCTTTGGGGGGTCTGTGTGGAAGATTTAAGAAATCCCACAATTAACAAGATAAACTGAAATCTGCAAAGACAAAGTTAAATCAATGATGACACTGAACTGTGTGTCTGCTTGAACACTTCTGTCATCACACTAGTGACCTGCAGG